CTAACAAGGCAGAAAAGGCCTTCCTAGCGTCCCCTGTCTTTGCTGGTAATGTTCTTCTGCATATATAGATAGTTCCATTTATTAATCGGTGATCCCCATATATTCATCCTATATATATGCTAGTGGTTTCACTTTACTTATAAGCCTGACTACGTGCTTTGGCCAATGTTTCCACTACCACTTGACTCGACTGCTCGGGGGCTCGGGTCCGCAGTCTGTCCCCTAGTGCCCTCTATCTGGTTTCTGCTATTTGAGCTCTAGGTAAATAATCAAGCGAGTAAATTCACAGGTTATTAAAGGGGAGAATTTCGAGTTTGGTGCCCACGACATATGATCAGCTCGTAAAATTTAATAATCATTCAATTCAAACACAATCATTATACTTTGCTATATACACATAGGCCTAGAATGATAACTTCTGCGGAAACTTACTTATTTTTTAAGATAAGTTTTCTTGCACATATTTCGCTGCTTGGCTGTGGTGCGGCCCCCCCCATTGCCATAATTCCCGTTTTATCCGATCCTGGGCGGCTACCATAACTTACCGTTGCTTTGATCCCTTAAATCCTATTATCAAGACCAAATAAAAGCCCATCTTCATTCTGTGCTCTCTTTAGCTCTCAGATCTGGCAGTTATTTCATCCGACGCAAACGACGCAACAAAACGTTCCTTCCCCACTGAGGAGACCGGTTACGACAGCGAAACCGACGCCGTAGGCTTCGGCGAAGAGGCTCAGTCAGGACGTCACCTGGACCTGAACGGCGACCTCAGAGCCCTCAGTGGTGCCACGACACGTGACATGCAGCTCTCTGAGACCCTGGTGGAGGTTGAGGAGTTCAGGAGGTACGTGATTGCCTACCTCACAGTCCCCGAAGATGACACCGTCATCGCTTCGGCGCCCGCGGACCTCCGACGTCTGGGCGAGGACAGTTCTGCCGACAAGGCGATGGCGCAATCGAACAAGCTTCTGCGCCAAATGTCCCTCATGAAGGGTCAGCAAAGCCGCATCAATCTTCAACTGACTGAGCTCTCACGAACTGGATCAGATGAGGGATCTGGTGATTCCGGAATGTTGGATCAGGTGGGTTCCCCCCTCCCCCTGCCCTCTCACATACTCATCAGGGGAAGTTGGCGAAACCT